GCTCCACCAAATCCTCTAATATTATATTTATCATTGCGTAGGTATTTTTATTATAGCATTGTACTCTATTTGTGTCAGGTGATATGTTGATATATAGCAAGTTTTGCTTTTCACCATTGCTTATGCTCTTAGTTACTGAGTCTATTGCTCAGCAATTTAGATTTGAAAAAAGAAATACTAAATCTTTAATTCAAGTCGCAAACTGGCCGTTCAAAATTTGTAATAAGAACTTGAAATCAATGGCGGAGCCAGCATTATTCGGCTGATGGGCTGAAAGATTTTGTTAAGGTTGAATATCATATATTTTTATCACTTGATATTAAAATATGTATTTTGATATATTCAATCAATATAAAAATATAAGCTTAATAAAAATTTATTGAATCCAACCAAAAAAAACAATACATATAATAACAACACAATTAACATACCAAAAAAACAATACATATAATCAACAATACAATTAACGTAACCACGGTTAGAAGGCTAGAGACCCCCAAGCCCCTCTGCGGCTCCGCCACTTCTGAAACCGAAACCAAACCAAGCCAATAAAAACTCTACTCCCTCCATCCCTTAAGTAGGTATTCATTTGTTTTTTTACAGAGTGTAAGGTATATTAGTATTATATTGATATGTAATAGAAATAAAATTGAAATTACTAAAATAACCCTATTAGTATTTTGTGATATAAATATAATGACATTTTTTTTAATATATTGTAAGGATATTTGTAATGTTTAGTAGATAATTTGTATATGTATAAAACGGATAAAAATTAGAAAAATTTTCAGTTTATTAAGGAACGGAAGGATATTTGGCAATTCTGGCCGGTTAGAAACCAAGCAAACAGCCGGTCCGGACTAACGGTTCCTAACCGGACGAGCAACTCTAGCGGCGCGGCGTGGCTCTACAAAGCATATATAATAATTTAATTCAATAGTGTTATATAATATATATACAATATAGTTGGTAAGTATTAAGTATATATATATATATACACGAATGTGTGTGTGATATTTAATGTATATAATATTTAAAGATATATAGATATATATAGAGAGAGAGGGAGAGAGTGGGAGAGAGGTATGGAAAATTAAAGAAGAGATGGTGTATCCGAATGGTGTGTAATCTATGTTGATAGTTTCAAACATATACATATATATAGGAGTTAATGGACCCACTATGAAATATCCACATCACACCTACGTAGGTAAGTTGTGTATTACTTGCAAGGTGATACAACGTACATACGTGTACATAACACTCCCGTTTGGATGTTTTATACAAAGAATATGCTTCGTTAAAATCCTACTATAAAAAAACCTGTGGGAAAAAATTATAGTGAAGGAAAAAAAATACATCATTCTTGTATTAATGTGCTCACCCTGTTTTGAACTTTATTTGATGTCTTTTATCCGACGCATTTCAATTTTTGGCACCAGTTTGTTGAATGTTGCAGTCGGTAGCGCCTTCGTAAACAAATCTGCAAAATTTTCAGACGATCGAATTTGTTGCACATTAATTTCAGCATTTTTCTGAAGATCATTAGTGAAAAAGAATTTCGGAGATATGTGTTTTGTCCGATCGCCTTTAATATATCATCCTTTTAACTGAGCTATACAAGTTGCATTATCTTCAGACAATATATCATCGGTAATCAAGCCACACTTTTTCTGAATATAATGGGTCATAGACCTCAACCAAACACATTCACGACTAGCTTCGTGAATTGCTAAAACCTCAGCATCGTTTGAAGAAGTAGTTGTTATCGTCTGTTTAGCAGATCTCCAAGAGATTACGGTTCCACCACAAGTAAATAAATAGTCAGTTTGAGATTTTGCTTTATGTGGATCAACAGATAACTAGCGTCATCATAACCCATTAATTCATTTCAAGATTCACTCGAGTAAAATAAACCAAGGTCATGAGTCCCCTGAAGATAACGAAAAATGTGTTTGATACCATTCCAATGGCGTTTTGTGAGGGATGCGCTAAACCTGACCAGTAGATTTACTGAAAAAGATATGTCTGTTCTGGTACAATATGCAAGGTACATTAATGCGTCAATAGCGCTGAGATATGGTACCTCGGGGCCAAATATCTCTTCATTTTCTTCTCTTGGCCTAAATGGATCTTTACTGGGATCAAGGAATCTAACCATCATTGGTGTACTCAAAGAATGAGATTTATCCATATAGAATTGCTTTAATACATTTTGGGTATATGTGGATTGATGGATAAATATTCCGTTATTCACATGATCCACTTGTAATCCCAGACAATACTTTGTCTTTCCAAAATCTTTGATCTCAAATTCTTTCTTTAGATATTCAATTGCAATTTAGATCTCTCCAAGAGTTCCAATTAAATTGAGATCATCAATATATATCGCATTAATGACAAAATTTGATCCATTTTTCTTGATAAAGATGCATGGACATATTGGATTATTAGTATAACCTTCTTTTATTAAACATTCATTGAGACGGTTATACCACATTCGCCCTAATTGTTTAAGTCCATACAGTGGCTTTTTCAATTTGATGAAATATGATTCCTTTTGGTTTAATTTGTATGCTTGAGGCATATTGAATCCCTCAGGAACTTTTATATAAATTTCAGTATCCAAGGAGCCATAAAGATGTGTAGTAACTACGTCTAAAAGACGCATATCGAACTTTTCACGCATTGCTAGGCTCACAAGGTATCCAAATATTATTCCATCGACAACTTGAGAGTATGTTTCATCAAAATCTACTTCAGGTCTTTGCGAGTATCCCTGAGCTACAAGACGGGCTTTATATCTCACAATTTCATTATGCTCATTTATTTTTCGTACAAACACCCATTTGTATCCAACTGGTTTTATACCATCTGGTGTTTGAACAATTGGTCCGAAGACCTCTCTTTTGTTTAATGAGTCAAGCTCTGATTGAATTGCATGTTCCCATTTTGGCCAATCATTTCTTTGCCGACATTCATGAACCGATTTTGGCTCTGGATCCTCATTTTCTTCCATTATATCAAGTGTTAAACTGTATGCGAAGGCATTATCAATAATTGCCTTTTTACGGTTCCAACATTTTCTTGAAGTAACATAGTTAATTGAGTTTTCAATAATCTCATCATACTCTTCAAGATTGTGCTCTTCTGGAGCAATTATTTCAGGGTTGACTTCCTCATTAGATTGAGGTTTATCAATGTCATTCCTTATATTTTCATGATTATCATCATTAATTCCTCTTTTCTTTCGAGGATGTTTGTCTTTGGAACCAAGTGGTCTACCACACTTTAAGCGTGTCGCTGATTCATTAGCACTTGCAATTTATCCATCATGGACAATTAATTTAGCCGGAGCATTAGCAGCTTTGACATATGATTGAGTGACTTTGCTCGAGTCATTATCCGGTAACTGATTTGCAATATTTTGCAAATGTATAATGTGTTGAAATTCTAGTTCACACTGCTTTGTACGAGGATCACAAAAATTCAATGGGATTTTTCAATTAATATCCCTTTTCGGTTCATTTCTGTCTCCCCCTAATGTCGGAAAATATAATTTGTCAAAATGACAATCTGCAAATCTTGCAGTGAATAAATCACTAGTCATAAGTTCAAGATATTTTATAATTGACGTCCATTCATATCCGACATAAATTCTCAATCTACATTAAGGACCCATTTTTGTACGTTTGGGGGGTGGAATAGAAACATAAACAGCACACCCAAAAACACGTAAATGAGATATATTTGGTTTGTGACCAAATACTGACTGCATCGGGGAGTAGCTATGATAGCTTGTCGGCCTCATTCTTATAAGTGTTCTTGCATGTAAGATTGCATGCCCTCAAGCTGAAACGGGCAACATAGACTTCATCAGTAATGGTTTAGAAATCAATTGCAATATTTTAATAAGTGATTCTGCCAGACCATTTTGCGTATGAACATGAGCAACTGAGTGCTCTACATTAATTCCAATCGACATGCAATAATCATCAAATTCATTCGATATATATTCACCAGCATTATCCAGATGTATAGTCTTAATTGGATTATCGGGGAATTGTGCCCGTAATTTAATAATTTGGGCAAGCAATCTCGCAAATTCCATATTGCGAGTAGATAATAAACAGACATGGGATCATCTCGTAAATGCATCAATAAGCACCATAAAATATTTAAATGGCCCACACGGTAGGTCTATTGATCCACATATATTCCCGTGTATTCTTTCCAAAAATGCAGGTGATTCAATACCTACTTTAGCTGGCGATGGCCTGGTTATCAATTTTCTCTGAGTGCAGGCAACACAGGTTAACTCATTTGAGTTTAACAATTTTTGACCTTTTAATGAATGGTCATGCGAATTCTCAATATTCGCCTCATCATTATACTAACAGGATGCCCAAGGCGATCATGTCATATTTGAAAATCGGTAGTCTTTTGATCTACCGTGAGGTGTGTTTCAACAACACCTAATCTGGCATAATATAAGCCAGTAGAGAGTGAGGATAATCTCTCAATGATGCATTTCTTTTTTATCAATGATATTTTTTATCAATAAAAATTCACCATCAGTATCACTCATAGTTTCAATGTGATAACTATTTTTCCGAATGTCCTGAAAGCTCAGTAATTTCTTCGAGCTTTAGTGGCCAACAATGCATACTGTATCACAATTTTCGTACCCGCGAGGAAAAATATAATGGCTTCTCCAGAGCCTTCAATTAATTTTGCACTGCCACTTATTGTATTGACATTCATTTTTTTCGTTTTCAAATGGGAGAAAGATTTTTCGTGTTTCAATATAGTATGTGTTGTTGCCCTGTCAATGAAACACATATTTGCATCATTTTGATTGGCATCCATTTAACCTTCACATATAAATAAACGTAGTATTAATAAAGGCAAATATAAATATTACAAAATGCATTACAAAAAGGTAATATGCTATAATTTAAATATTACAAAATATAATATAAAATGACATAATATATCTATCACTGGGGGTTTGTTGGATCTACGAAAAAATCCGCTATATCAAGATGCATTGTGTCGTAATCCAAAAAATCATCATCAGGGTCGTCATCATTATCAACATGATTAGTCTTGACCTCCTTCCCCTTTTTTCTGCAGTGAAGCTTGATAAAAATCGATAGGTGTTTGGCTGTTCTGCAGGTATTGGCCCAATGACCTTCAATGCCACACCGATTACAAATGCCGATTTGCCTCTTTCCCTGTTTAGCCTTTTCAGCTATATCGTCATATTGGGGTTTACTCTGCATCCTGTTAATGTCAAAATTGCGGCGATTGTAAAAGGTATATCGACCACGTTGACTCTCACGACCGCGACCACGTCCACGGCCTCTACCACGTCCTCGGCCTTGTTCAGAAAATGTCACGTTCGCTTCAGGGAACGGACTGAAACCAGTGGGCCGGGACTAATGATTTTTCATCAGTAACTCGTTATTTTGCTCATCTAATAAAAAGATATGCAATAAGCTGTGAGTACTTTTGAAACTTTTTCTCACGATACTGTTGTTGCAGCATAACATTAAAAGCATGAAAGATAGAGAAATTCTTTCCCAATTTATCATTCTCAGTAACAATTTCTCCGCAGAGTTTTAACTGAGATGTAATCTGATGGATAACAGAGTTGTACTCTAACAGTTTTAAAATCCTGCAATCGCAGGTTTAGGAAATCATGTCGGGCTTTCGGGGGAGTGATATATTTCAAGTGCCAAAATCTCTCACTTAATTCATTCCACAAATCTAGTGGATCTTTCACCGTCAAATATTCGGACTGTAAAGGAATGTTCAGATAGTGACGAATTAAAACAATAGCATTTGCCCGATCTTGGCTTGTAGCCGCATTTTCACTGGAAATTGTATGAACAAAGCCCATTGAAACCAGATGCATTTCTACATCCATGGATCAAGTCAGAAAATTATTGCGGGCGAGAGAAAGAGGTTTAAAAGAAAATTTTGCAAGATTTTTCATAGTTTAGAAATTAAATAATATAGATAGTATAAAAATAAAACTTACCAAAAATAAAATAGGCAAGAGTCTTCGTATTGATAACGTGTTATATAATATATATAATATAGTTGGTGAGTATTAAGTATATATATATATGAATGTGTGTGTGTAATTTAATGTATATAATATTTAAAGATATATAGATATATATAGAGAGAGGGAGAGAGAGGGAGAGAGTGGGAGAGAGGTATGGAAAATTAAAGGAGAAATGGTGTATCCGAATGGTGTGTAATCTATGTTCATAGTTTCAAACATATACACATATATTCCCTACGTCCCATAACAAAGTATTATTTTTTCATTTTAGTCCGTCCCATAACAAAGTATCCATTATTTTTAAGTAACTGTACTATCTATCTAACCTTATAAATACTCTTATAACTTACAATATATTATACAAATGTTATTACTTTTATATCACACGTACTAATAAGTTTATTATAGTCATTTTTATTTTATTTTTACTATATCTCAATATAATATTAATATTTCTAAAATTACGTACAAAAAGCATGTCCAAATAAATATTTCTTTATGGGAGGGAGGAAGTATATAGGACTTAATGGACCCACTATGAAACATCCAAATTACACCAACATAGGGAAGTTGTGTATTACTTGCAAGTACATACGTGTACATAACAAATAGCAATTTATGTCATTTACAAGATACTATTCACTCTCCAAAAGCATACAATTTAAATCCCCAATGAGGACAACTAATTGTAACAAGTAAAAGATTTATTCCCATACAAAGGCGACATCTGGCTTCCAATAATTCAATTCTGCCAAGCATTTCATGCTATCATAGCAGGTACATTTAATTTAATTTCACGTTCATGGATGCTATGACTAAGAGCAGCAAAATTTTTAAATAAATTAAAATACAAGTGTCCACATATATGTATATATATATATATAGTAAAAAACAAATTATCACAATTTCTTTTAATTCCACAGAATAAATATAACAAAACACTAGGATCTAAAGTTGCACTGCACGTTGGGATGGTGAGGCCGACTGATTAATGCAACGGTTTAAGGTGGAAGATTTGGCAGGCTGACTTGTAAGATTTCTTGGCTGCAGCCTGCTCGAATTTCTTGACAGCCGATTCATTCTCCTCTAAGCTGTTTTGAATGAAGAATCTTATCCACCAAGTTGAGCTTCGCAGTTTTGCCTGGATTCAAAAAAAAAAAAATACACAGATTAGATTAGATTAGATAGTAAAACACCACACAGCTTAGCTTAGCTGTGACTTTCGGAAAAAGAGAAGGAAAAAGAACGATGGATATAGATAGTAGTATGAGGTGAGGCAGTGAATATATGTCAGATATGAATGGTTAGGGTGCTAATTGAGTCTAATCGACGCTGGTTAGCCCCAATCAGTACTATATGTATTATGTGAACTATTGTCGCGTAGTATCAATTCATGTGTTATATTTGTATTACATAAATATATATATATGTATATATCTCGTGCTGTCTATCTTATATGAAATATTATTACTATTATATTTTTCTCAAACCCGGGAATGACATATTGTTATTATTATATTGGCATATCAGATCAGATGTATGTATGGTTGAAGAGACAAAAAGGTGAAGAGACTAACCGGGCGCCCAAACTTGGATAGTTCAGTCACTTTAGCTTTCTGATGGCCTGGAAAACCTGAAGTTAAGCATAAACCAGCTTCCTCAGTAAGTAAGAACCAAACATCGTTGTTTGGTCATTAAATAAATTATCTGTAGATTTGGAAGCAATTATCTGTACAAGAAATTACCAGATAATAAAACTAAGCCATCAGCAGATACTCTTGCTAGCTCTGGAACCGTCTTGTTAAGATACCTAGGCGATAAGTAATCCACGGCATCTGATACTATGACAAGAGAAAATGACTTTGGCCTGTAGGGAAGAGGAAATTTGATATCCGCTGAACGCACAAAGCCTTTACGCACGAGGCTCTTGCAGTGACTGTCGGCATCATCTAACTCATATGGCTCTATGCCCCAAGCTTCTGTGTCCTCTTCTTTCAATAGTTGGGATACAATTGGGCAAGTTTCCGGGCCTACATGCAATACTTTGCGCATGCTATCACCGTATGTTTTTTTTAGAATGGGTATTAGTCTCTGAAGTTCTTGCGTACATGAAACACCGCCTGCATATACATGGATGGATTCCGTCATACTCGGCTAGAAGCATTGGCTATTTTAGTTTTCAAAAAAAGAAAAAAATGGTGCCTAAAGTGGTTAATATCAAACAGATAATCTAAGATTTTATTTTGATTACACAGGTAAATGGAGATCAATAGAATAAGCGTGTAACAAACTCGAGCACACAATTCAATCATACCCGAAAAAGTTGGTATTATTGATGAAAAACCACTAATCTATGAACCAAATAAGAAGTAAAGACAACATTGTCATGAAATGAACACCTTCCTTTCAGATCAACTAAATCATCTTTAAAGAATACCACTGAATAGAAAATGTCAATATTATGTTTAGTGGAACAAAGTTTAGCCAGTTACACCAAAACAGCCAAAAATATGAAAAGGGAAATGATATGGTGATACTAATGCTTGTATATGAAACAAGATCTGCTATACGAGCATGTAACAGTTTGAAATTTTACTCAAAGACGAAAAAATTAAGGTAAAAGTAAGCATTGCTCGTCCTGGCTACCTTAGAGACGTAAAAGAAGGGAGTAAAATATCAAAGGCGGGTACTGTCTCGAATAGATTTGATAATGCATGCATCACAAGATGCTAATACACATAATAGTAAGACATAATAATATCACAATTTAAATGAGAAGTACTGAAAATAATAACAACTATACTATTAGCAGATTACCATCAAGCCGGCTTAAAGCACTTATATCACCACTCCTGCCACCTGTCAAGAGAGAATGTAAATTCAAGATTCAAGTCACCTTTCTTGATCATTTATTTTGCCTAAAAGAGATAACTAAACCAGACCATGATACAGATAGCCAACGACCAGTATTGCCCCCTGAAAATAAAAACAACAAATTCAGATCAGTTTGCTAGGAAATAGCTCAACCACAAGCATATATAATTTAATAATTTATGCAAGCAGGATCATTAAAGAAGGAAATCATGAGAAAGGAATACACGCAGTCCTTAAGAAATTTTTATGATTTTATAATGCACACAAGAAATTCTTTAGTTCATTTTTGTGATAGTTAAGTACTGCATGTGCACAAACAAAAATGTAGGCACAAATTCAGAGAATCAAATGCACAATAAAATACATGTGGTCAAATGCACGAAGGGTTGATGAGTTAGTTTTACCACAATAAAAATCCCTATAGATAACAATGGAGATGGACGAGACTTGGGATGCAATGCACCCACAAAAGGTATGCTAGCACTCTCTCCAAAGCGACGAGCAGTGTTGGGACGCCTAGACATGGTCTTGGAGTAGAATGAGCCTGTTCAAAAATGTATCAAATGCAGAAACCAGAAAACGATGGTTATATAAAATTCCATTTCAGTGAAAGACTCATCAAGTAACAGAAGCAAAGAGATCCACAGTTACATAAGGAAAGGCCATGGATTAGATAATACCCGTTAATAAAACAAGAATATTTCTATTCACTTCGCCCAATCAGAAATAGATCACACAGAATTATAAAGAATGAACACCTCCCAGCCATTATGCAGCCACAAAAATCCAATTTCTATTACTGATCCTAAAACTAGACATGAAATATAAAAAAAGAAGAATATGAGCAGCCAAAAGCACAGACAGGCTCGGGAAATTAACCACTAAAAAGCCACAAAGATGTGAAATGCTACCAAATTGCTAACAGAATCCGAGAATCATCCATTTAAAAATCAATCATCTATCCTCAAACCTCACGATCTCAAATGAATTTCACTCCGAATTCCAAATCGTTGACAACCATCACAAACTAATTCAATTCATTCAAGTTCCTAAACAGACTGGTATCACATGAAGCACACCCACAATTCAACAGCTGATTCAAATTAAAAAAACAAACAAACAAAAACCAAAACGCAACCACAGCTCCGCAACATAAAAATAACTCTTCCAATTAAACACATTCAATCATTAAAACAAGCAAATCATGGAAAATGCATACCAGAAACGGGAAATCAAAAGGCTGATGCGCAAAGACACGAGTGGGATCTAGATCTGCTGGTACTTTGGCTCACTGGATGGAGTCGATGAACAGAGAAAAAAGCGCTCAGATTTGTTCGAGTGGCACTTATTTATTTCCCTATACTTCAATTTACATATTATTAATTATTAGTATATCATTCTATTCTTTATGTCATTTTCCACGGCTAAGTGCAAAGTATTTTTCAGCGTGTAGTTAATAAAATAGAGTAAGGGATAAAAGGGCCCGTCGGCAGGATCCAGGCAGTGGGTTTTACCCTGCGGTAAGGTCCAGTGGGTCGACCAATCATTGCCCATTTTCAAATTTGGTTGGGCATCAATGACTTGTTTATAACTAGTTTTTATTTTTATTTATGCTTTATTATAATTAATTTGTAAAATCTCTTTTGTCTTTTCTAGTGCGTTATTTATTGTCAGGGAAAACTATAAGTTTGCGTCTTATTTATTACACATGATTTGTTTAGTATAATTTATTTTATTGGACCTAATTTGTTGGTTATTAAGTATGGCCGAAAATTACCAAAAACGCACTCGAATAGTAACGATTGCGAATCAAAAAAAAAAAAAAAAACCAAAAAAAGAAAAATCATTGAGGGCTAATTCTGAAGTATTAATAGGATGGATAAAGAGATGATTTATATGCGGTTAAAATTTGGATCTTCTTCGTTGTTGGACTCCGCTATATGTGAGCGGCTTATTTTGTATTTATGATTTAGCTCAATTGTTTTTATATTTTAGACTTGACTCGTTGGTAGGTTACTTTGAGTTTGATCTATCAAGAATAGTTTAAACAGGGTATTTAAAGTTTAATTAGTACATTCACTTCATTTTCATGCACTCACTTGGATTGCTTCACTTTATTGTGTATTCTTATTTTCGTCTATTTTGCTATTTTTTATGTTCTTTTCTATATTTTCTTCCATTTTACAAACCTTTGCAAGTTATGATCTTCATTTTCACAATTTGTGTAATGTTGTGGTGATTTCTAGTATATAAGACTTACAGAGGAGCAACACTAAGAAAAGCTTTGTTGTTTGAGTTTGATTATTTAATATGATTCTTTTGAATCAAATTTCTATTCAAAAAAAATCTAACCCTAGCCTATTTATATATAAGAAAAACATAATTATAATTACAATTATGTTTTTAATTAATACTCGCTTCATCTCACTTACCGTGTTCATATTTCTATTTTCGTATGTCTCATTTATTTTGTCACTTTGTTTTTTAAAACAGAATTATACATTTTAATCACATGTTAATTTTTTTAAATTATAATTTTTAAAAATTTAATTAAACCAATTGGTTATCTTAATCTTTATCTAAAATTATTTTTATTATCCAATAATTATTTTCACAATACATTCTTAATTATTTACTAATTATATTTCTCATAAATTCTCGTGTTTACAATAAATGAAACACTATAGCCAGGATGGAGGGAGTATTATTAATTTATTATGTCACTAAAATAATAATAATATACGTGGGTAGCTACACTTTCATTCAATAATAATCAAGTCCATAAGTCAATAATTAATTATATTAATTAGATTATTTAAATAATATGAATGAATAAAATAATAACTTCAACAATATATTCGATAGACATATTTTATCCCAAATCCAACAATTTCCCACTGGATCTAGTATGTATCCAAATGAACACATTGTTCTTTATGAACTCAATTTACAGTCATTATAAAATAAGGTTTGTAATAATCTGGTCCATCAGTCATAACAATATAGGACAAAAATATCATTCGTCGTATCAACAGTTAAACTCACAGTAATCATGGATATCTTTGTAATCAAATGACATAAATCAACCATAGAACATGCAGAGAGAAAATTACATAAGTGTGATATGAGCATGCCAATTTTCTACTGGTCCAAACTGAATAAGATCGTAAATTATTTAAAAATTATGTTCAAAATATCACAAACTGAAATAATGATCAAAAGAGTATTAAAAAAATACCGAGTAAACGACAAAATAACATAAATGCATACTTCACTAAAGTGAAGCTTCTCTGATTTGTAACACACCCATATGAGCAGCATGCTTGTGGAAGACCCTAGGTGTTACACATTTAGTTAGGGAGTCTGCTAACATAGATTTTGTCCATGAATGCTCGATTAAAATCTAATGATCTTTCACCATCTTTTTAACAACTAGGAACTTAATCTCAATATGTTTTTGACCTGGACGAGCTCCTATTATTATTAGAGTACTCAACGGTTGAATTGTTGTCACAAAATATCTTGATAGGTATTTAAACCATCGGAATGATTCGTAGCCCTGTGACAAGGTTCTTAAGCCAAATTATCTATTGTGATGCCTCAAAACACGCTACAAACTCAGCTTCCATAGTGGAACTGGTAACGAGTGTCTGTTTGGCACTATGCCAACGATGGTCTCACCAACCAACATATAAACATAGCGGTGTAGATTTTCTACTATCTTGGCATCCTGCAAAATCGGAGTTAGAGTATCCAACGATCTCCAAATGGTCTAACATCCTATATGTGAGCATGTGATTACTAGTTTTCCTCAGGTATCTCATCACCCCTTTGGCTGCCTTCCAGTGATCAATTCAGGATTACTGAGGTATCCGCCTAACGCACCGACTATGTACACAATATCTGGACGCGTACATACTTGTGCATATATGAGGCTCCCAACTATTGAGGCATTGGGGATCATTTTCATTTGTTTTTCAAATTTACTTTAGGGAACTGGTTGAGACTTAATTTCTCTCCTTTAGCTATAGGGGTATCTCATGGCTTGCATTTTTGTATATTGAATCGCTCCAGTAACTTATCGATATAGCCCTTTTGAGATAATCCAATAATACACCGAGATCTATCACAATATATTTGGATCTCTAATAAAAAATATATTTCACCAAGATCTTTTATCTCAAAGTTACTCGAAAGAAATTTCTTAGTTCCTGCAATATGCACACATGGTTTGTGGTAACAAGAATGTTGTCCACATAGAAAACTAAGAAAATAAACTTACTCCCACTAAATTTGTGATAAACACAATCATCAACAACATTAATCTCAAAATCATATAAGACAATTACTTGATGAAATTTGTAAGATCACTGTCGAGATGTTTGTTTGAGCCTATAGATGAATTTTCTTAATTTACAAACCATTTTCTTTGGATCACCGACCTTAAAAGTTTTTGGTTGTACCATATAGATCATCTCATCAATATCACCATTTAGAAATGCAGTCTTTATATCCATCTGATGGAACTCTAAATCAAAGTGTCCACAAGAGCCATGATTGTTCTAAAAGAGTCATTCGAAGAAACTGGAGAAAAAGTCTCTTAATAGTCAATTCCCTTTTTCTAAGTATAGACTTTAGCTACGATACGTGCTTTATACTTCTTCACATTACCATTTACATCCTATTTGGTTTTAAAAATCCATTTGCAAGCTATGTGTTTTGCACCTTCTGGCAATGGGAAAAGTTCCCAAACTTTATTGTCTTGCATTGAATTGTATTCATCGCACATTGCATCGACCCATTAACCTGAATAAAGACCCTTTATGGCATGATAAATATTAATTGGATCATCCTCATTCATGCCATCAATGTTCTCACTTTCTTGAAGAAATGTCACATAATCATCCGGAATGATATTTCTTTGCTCTCTAGTGGATTTACACAATTACGTCGGCTCTTGAACAGTATGTTTTTAAGTTTCTTGAGTTTGTTCCACAGACATAGGTTCCTGTTCTATACGAATGGGTTCCTCAGTTGCACTTTGAAACTCCGTGGGAGCTTAATTGACTACTAACTCATGAGGTGTTTGGTCAATCACATTAGTGATTTCTTGATCCTCAAAAGTGAAGTCTAAAACTGTATTTCTCCCCCAAACTCAACATCCTCAAAGAACTTGGCGGTACCCGTCTAAAAAATAATTCTTGATCTAGGATCATAAAATTTATACCCCCTTGACCGTTCTGAATAGCTAATAAAATAATTGTTTGTTTTATGAGGTGCTACCTTTTGTTCATTTGGCCTATACACCTTCGCCTCAGCTAGACAACCCTACACCCTAAGATGATTTAAGTTAGACTTGCGCCCAATTCAGAGTTCATAGGGTGTTTTGGCATCCGCCTTAGTTGGCACTCGATTAAAGATGTAGATTGTTGTCTTTAGTGTTTCTCCTCACAATGATGGTGGCAAAAGTAGATTGACTAATCATACTCCACCATATCCTTCAATGTGCAGTTTTGTCTCTCAACAACACCGTTCATACTAGGTGAACCAGACATAGTGTATTGAGGGACAATTTCACACTCCTTTAGGAAGTCAGCAAAAGGACTTTGACGTTGTTCACCCGAGCCATCATTTATGTCGTAATATTCTCCTCCACGGTCAGATCTGATAGTGTAATGCATTTGTTGAGTTGATTTTCAACTTGATGAACGACTAGCCCTTGGAAATGGAAACTACCAATAGTAATCTGACGGTGGTGCATTTTGTGACTGGTGTGAAGCTCTCCCCAAAATCAATGCCTTGCTCCTGCAAATGCCCTTTGGCCACCAAACGAGCCTTGTGTCGTGAAATAGCACCAGTCTTGTCCCTCTTGATGTGGAAAACCTATTTACAACCAATGGTCTTTTTGTCCTTAGACTTTTCAACGACATCCCATGTGTAATTCTTTCAAGAGCATCAATTTCTTCGCTCATTGTTTGTGTCTAGTGAGCATGTTTAGATGCCCCAATGTAAATATGAGGTTCAGCATCACTGTCATTACACAAGCAAACATAATCTTGAAGCCATCTAGGTTGTTTGATCACCCAATAAAACCTCATATGAGCCGATAAAAAAGCATATTGTACCATTGTATAAGTAGAAAGAGTTGTATTGTCACAGCGAGTAGATTCGGAAATAATAGCAAGAAAATCTTGAGTAGTTGTAGTTGCAGGTGATTCAGCAGCAGTAGAAGAATAAGAAATGATCTCGGGATTGACATTGTTGAGGGATTCAGTATCATCATAGCTGACCAGAGGGCAGAGATGCTAGTGGATATGCGAATCATGTGGAGGAGAGTAAAGAGAATCTAAGCTTGGAAATACATATTAAAAAAATACC